CTTCGACCTGAAAATGTTTCTGTAGTCCTATTTTAAAGAAATAATATTTATTTATTTATTTATTTATTTATTTATTTATTTATTTAACAAATTTGTTACCGCCCATCTCATTGAAACAACTCTCAGTGGTTTACAGCAAAAATAAAATTTGTTAAAATACAGTATAAAACACACCTAACAATAAATGGCTTCCAAGCAAGATGGAAATTTGGGGGATAATTGAAAGGAGTGTCGTCAGGGTGATAACTACCCCCAAGGACAGTTAGAGCCCATATTGCCCCATGCACACTGGCAGAGCCAGGTCTTTAAACCTTTTCGGAAAGCCAGGAGAGTAGGGGCCCATTGCACTTCTGGGGGGAGAATATTCCAAATTAATGTGAAGCCCACATATAAATGGGTCAGGTTAGATTTTTACTTACTGTGCAGTTCTGTACTACTCATCAATAGGAAATAGCCTTATTTGGGGCTGCTATCCAGCTTAAATGGCTTTGACATAAAAGTAGGAAGATCCAAAATGAGTGTTATTATCAAAGCAAGTTGATGTATACTGCAGTCATGCAGCACTCAATACATTTTTTGTTCATTTACTTGGATGCTTTTCTATAGCAGTAAAAACCTCTCTTAAAACCTAATTACACTATCAGTTAGTGCTCCCTTCCCCAGCTTCAGCTTCTCTTCAGAAATGTCCCTGATGTGGCAATAAAATTTTAAAATAGCTACTGTTGATCACAAGTTGTTGATCAGAGATGTGAGCTTTTAGCTTTCTCTTGATGTAAGGTGGGAATAGGGAAAAAGGGGAGAAAATCTGGAGCAGGTTAGTAAGGGGTTTCAGGAGAGCAGGTTGTAGGTTTGACGTGGTACTCTTTGGACTGGATTAGGCTATGGCTTGGCAGTTAGCTTTTTTCTTCTTGTTGTTTTGAATGATTGTTTTCACATTGTGTTTTGTGCAGGATAGAGATCTAGGAGATGAATATGGTTGGAAACAAGTTCATGGAGATGTTTTCAGGCCATCTAGTCATCCTTTAATATTTTCATCCCTCATTGGTTCCGGCTGCCAAATCTTTGCAGTTTCTTTCATAGTAATCATTGTTGCCATGCTGGAAGATTTATATACAGAGTAAGTATAGCTTTATAGTTACATTAAAAATACATTGGTAAGGTCTGGTGAGCCCACTTGTACATCAGCTATTCTTGGAGCTCTAGATTTTTCCAAAGATAGAGACATTGCTGTATAACCAGAAGATGAGTTCCATCAATACATGCACAAATAATGCTCATATATTAATTTGGCTCACAGCTTTAACATTGGTAAAGTAGAAATTTAGGGTAATGCATATTTTAAATTTATAATGAAATTTAAAATAATGAACTAGACTCTAAACTCTCTTCCTTGAATGGAACATAGTCTGTGTGTCAGAACCTGCAGCAATTGAAGGAATAGCCAAAAAAAGGACTGATTGGGGGTTATAAATACTGGGTTTGCTTGTTTTGATTCTGCCATTTGTAACGGCGGAGGGGAGTGAAAGAAGACAGAGCCGATGCCATCTTGAAGGGCAAGAAGGAGAGGTGTTGTCAGGGTGAGGAATTCTCAAGGCCACGACTTGGTGAGAAAGAAATCTGGCGCCAAAGAACCAGGGGGGAGAGAAGGGGTAAAAGTAGAGGGAAAGTTATGCGGGCTTTAGTTTTAGCAATGCTTTGCTTAGAGCTGCATGTACCATTCAATAAAGGAGTT